CTTGACATACAGATAAGTGAGGCATATAGGACTCCAGCTAGCCTTGATCAAAAAAATCTACACATAGGCATATAATACTTAGGATCTCAGAAACCCAAAGAAGAACAAAATTCTACAAGCAGTTAGAGAAAAGAAACAAATCACATACAAAGGAAAGCCCATCACAATCACAGCAAATTTAACGCAAACCCTCAAGGCAAGAAGAGCTTGGAGTGACTTATTTCAAACCCTAAAGGAAAACACCCTTCAACCCAGATTGATGTACCCTGCAAAACTATTTTACAAAATGGATGGAGAAATAAGATACTTTCATGACAAAGAGCACATTAGGAATTTCATGAATACCAAATCAGCATGCCAAAAACTTTTTAGACAATATCCTAGGAAAAGACAATGAGGATCACAACCCCAGGAAGCCCAGCAGAATTAATCCATTGGGTGGGTGTGACAAGAAATTAAATGCAAAGGGGTAGAATCCAACAAAAAGAAAAAGTCCTGACAATGATAAGTCAACACATATCAGTTACAACCATCAATGTTAATGGTCTCAATTCACCAATCAAAAGAAATAGACTTGCAGAATGGGTCAAGAAGCAAGATCCAACAATATGCTGCATACAAGAAACATGCTTAATTCAAAAAGAAACTCATAGACTGAAAGTTAAAGGGTGGAAAACAATACTACATGTGACAGGAACCTGAAAAAAAGCAGGAGTAGCTATCCTCTTTGCAGATCAAGTGGATTTCAAACCAAAATCTGAAACAATTCTGGTCCCAAGAATTTCAGACAATGGATACTCAACTTGTATGTACAAATCTATTGTGAACACGTGTTTTCATTTCTCTTAAGTAAAAGCTTAAGAACAGAACTATTGGTTCTTAACAATAATACAAGAAATTTCTATGTTGTTTTCCAAAATGGTTTTATCACTTTACATTCACACTAGCAGTATTAGAAAGTTCTAACTGATTCACACCTAAGCTGACATTTGTTCTTTTAAACCTTTTAACTTCACCTCCCTAATGAGTGTATAATATGATCTTGTTATTGTACTGATTAGTATTTTTCTGATTCCAGTGTTGCACCCCTTTCCTTGTGCTGTACTGGCTATTTATCATCTTTTTCTGTCTACTTTTTAATTGAGTTGTCTATTAATGAGCTGTAAGAGTTCTTTATATATTCCAGTCATAGGTCATATGTATTATTAATATGGTCTGATGAAGGACTACTTTTCATTTTCTTAATGATGTCATTTAAAGTTCTAAATTTTGATGGAATCTCATGTATCAATTTTTTTCTTTTATACATCATGTTTTTTGTATCC